CAAACCAAAAAAAAGGGGAAAAGGGGACAATTTTTCCAAAACGGTTTGAGTGATAATCGACGAATCTAAGAAAATCTGGATCTGACTATGCTATTTTCTGGCAGAATATTAGCAATCGGCTGTTCTAATCGATTTTTTGGAAGGCTGCTTGATCATTTTTTTCAGATTATTTCCAGAATTGTACGAGAAAAAAACTGGTCATAATAGCAATAATAGCATAAACAACTGGTCATAAACAAATGGTCATAATACGCTCCTCTTCTTTCTCTTCGTTTTCTTATTATACATCTTTTCGGTTACACAATGGCTGTTCCCCCATCACCTCTATGGCTTATAAATCTCTGGCAGAAACTCCGCGGTAATCAAGCTAAGTGTAAAGTATATTTTAGTCATAAAAGAAGTCATTTACCGACCGCAAACATTACGAAAGTAACAATCTTCGTTGTTGCAGAAGGAAAACCTCTGGTGGATGGACGCTAAAGTCCGCGTTGCTCCGAAGGGGAAGATTGAGAAGCTGTCGGCTCTAGCGCAGAATGCAACCGGTGCTCTACGAAGAACGGCCCTGCGAGGGCGGATATCAGTCGTCATCCTGTGACGGCACAGAAGCTTCACTCTACATGAACGGATCTCTTGGGGTAAATTTTCAGACTTTTGATTTTAAAATACTACCCTTACATTGTCTTTTCCATCATCATGTGCAGTAATGCATTCCATTTGCACCATTGTGTTTCACGGGGATTGCTACGTAACTAAATTTGAACGAACGAATATGACGGCGGCTTATTTATTAGATATACAACATATTCTGCAATAATTTTGATTCCTAAAATTGTTTATTAAACGATATGAACATCACAGTAATTTACCGCAGTTCGTCATAATATTTAAAGTTTCTTTCAGATAATTACTGGTATTTTTAGGTAGAAATGCAACATGCAACCCTAGCAACCTAATTTCATATCAGTTACTGATATGTTTCAAAACGAAACAATTAGTTTACTTCTATCAGTTCAAAGGAAATGTATCACATCTACTGTTATGTAGTAGTAAGCTTAGGTCACAATTTGTTCAGTCCCCCTCTCTTTCTATCTTTATTAGTATAGTTTGACAATTTCTTCTGAAAATATAATTTTGAAGTATTTATGTTGATTTCGAATCCAAGATTTTGTATTGTAAGTCACAACATTTCTCTCAAGAGTGTAAGATATTTTTTCTCTGGTAGAACATAGGAACACATAGAACGATAGGAAAGGAAAAAGCATGATTTAAAAATTATTGGTTATACGTGATTGAAATTGTAGACAAATTGTGTCATTGTATGTTTTGATGACCTTAGTAATACTTACAAAATTTGAGACATAGTTATTCGGATTAACATCATTTAGTAATTGCTGATACATAGTAAAAAATTACTACTACACAACAGTAGATGTGATACATTTCCTTTGAACTAATAGAAGTAAACTAATTGTTTCGTTTTGTAACTGATATGAAATTAGGCTGCATGTGCATTTCTACCTAAAATACCAGTAATATCTGAAAGAAACTTTAAATATTATGACTGAACTGCGGTAAATTACTGTGATGTTCATATCGTTTAAATAAACAATTTTAGGAATAAAATTATTGCAGAATATGTAGTATATCTAATAAATGAGCTACATTTGAACCAGTTCTTCAGACCCTTGATTACGAGCTCAGTGAAAAATGAAATCGTATACTTCCGTAGCCAGTCATGTGTAGGCTCTCGGCTATCCGGGTGTATCTAAGGCAGCGCGTGCGTATATTTTGACCATCATTTCGTGGTTTTCTTGACGGCGCCATAATAGTGGGCTCTTTTTATAACTACACAGGCCTGGAATGGTTTCATGGACTCATTCATCTTGTGTTGCGTTTTAGGTTTCCGTTTCAACCCCGAATCAGAATATATCTGAATCTGAAGAATCTGAAATTTTATATTACGTTTTTATCACATTAACTCACTAATGCACTCTTAAGTTAATACAGAAATTGTTTTAATTACGATATGTAGAGTTTTATTAATTCGATGTCACGCAGCTCTCTGGCAACCCTGTGTAATCCGTTTGGTCTAGAACCGGTATTAACCGCGTATTTCAATAAAAAATATTACATTTTTATTGAAATTATATCAACATGCTACTTCATTGGTGCTAGGACACTCCAGATACATTGTGCTATGTGTGTGGAAGTTTTGTACCAACAAGAAAGCAGCGCAAAATAACAGAGTTCATGAGAAAGTCCTACTACGCCTACTGGTATAACACTGGGAGACCAAGAAAAACCGTGGCACCACATAGGGCTTGAAGAACGTGTTAGAGTAGTTACGACGGTGAGAAAACAGCGTTGCCATACGGAATTCCAATGGTGTGGCGATAACCATCAGACCACAAAACTGACTGCTACTTCTGTTCAGTGATTGTGAAGGAAATTATCAGCAAGAACAAAATAATTATTGTGTATCCAAACGATATTCCATTAGCAATTTTATCCGTTTCATCGTGGTTCTGTTGAACCTTTCCCACAGCATCCGAAAAATTTACAAGACTGTTCCTTCTTTGAATCTGAATGTGACGCAGAAGTAGCCGATCCTACTTCTGACTGTAATTTCTCGATTGAAAACTTTGCAAAAGAACCTAAACTTTTCAAGTAAAGTCCATTAAATTATTTTGTTCGAGATCTTGGACTCACAAAGGAATCCGCCGATATCCTCGGTCTGCATTTCGCGAAAGGAAGATGTTGGCACCAGGAACGACGTATTATTGGTACACATATTGCGAACAAGACTTTACACGCTCCTTTTCTGAAAGGGAACTTTGGTTACTGCAATAACATCCAGGAAACTATGCTAAAATAAGGATTACGACTCTATACAAAGGAGACATTTTATCGATGCCTCCAAGCGTAATTTGAAATGAGTCCTTCTTCATAATGAAAACAAAATGTGACTAATTCCCATTGATCATTCCAGTATTATGCGAGAAAATGGAAATCCTGTGATGATGTGTAAAAAGAAGTGCGAGGAACACGAGGAGTACTATTTTTACCACAATTTCTCTCCAATTTATTTTTTGTAAAACTCATTTGAAATTGAACATTTGTTAGGAAAAATAAGCCAAATGCGAGAAAGTATAATAAATATAAATTAATATATAATATGATACTGAGAGCGTTGTCACACAAATGCAAAAATATCGAAATATATATATATATATATATATATATATATATATATATATATATATATATAATAGTAATTATCAACCACTATGGTATTGCAATGTTCTTCAAATATACAAATGTATTCAATTTTATTATTACCTTAGTCCCGTACGTGTGGTGCATGTTTTCCTCGGGAAGTGGTGGTGACATTTCTCCGCTAGATGGTGAGATCCGGCGCCAATCTACCATGGTCTAGAGGAGTTTTCTCCAACCAAGTACTTCTCACCAGCGGAGCACCGCACCAGCCGCGGTAAACTCTAAACTCCCGACCGGTCTCCCGGCATGTGTGGTAGAGCAGTGCATGTTAGAGTAAGTGTGTAAGGGTGAGGATAGAAAGGGTACGGAAGTGCGAGGATAGGTAAGACAGTGAGGATAGATAAGGCAAGGAAGAGGAAGGAAAGATCGCGGCCTGTTTGTTTGGGTACTGCTGCGGCATTCGCCTGGTATTGATGGGAGAAACCATGGAAAACTACCAATCGGAGCAGCCGACCGCCAGAATTCTCCTCCAGACAGCGACAGAACTCGACCTGGTTATCTTGCTAATGTCGAAAATAATCGTCGGAACTGGAACATTTGACTTCTCGATCTGAGGCTCTTCAGTGACATCAGCAACATCTACGGTCCATAACCGTTAAACATAATATGAGGAAGTATGTGCTGTTTAAGTACCATTATGTTTTCAAGCCATGGTTTTATGTTACCCGTATAAAAAAATTTTTGGAAAATGTCTTGTTGGCGCTAAAGTTATCGGCGTAGTGTTGGCCGAATCTAAATTCACTGTAGTTGTTTTGCGCAGATGGAGCTGACCAGGGCGGATGGTGGTCCAACCGAAAAATTTGTGCTCCCTCCGAAAGATTACTGCATGGACAGGACTACGCTGTCAGGGAAGCTTTACCTCGCCTTCCTGGCCTGCCCGTGCAAACACGTGGTGTGCGTCCGCAAGTGCTGCGATAACAAGCGTATGCTGACTATGTCAGAAGCTATCGCTATGAAGCAAGAAGCTCACTGCGACGGCAAACTTCCCGAAAAGTTTACGTGGATCGCACCGTTCACAGCGCTCACTGCAGGATCAGGGCCTGGGCAGGGGAACGTGGCCTACGCCCGCCTTCGAGGGCCGTTTCCTAACACGTGCCCATCAGGTCGGATGAATGTAGTGGTTGAAATGAGGTACATACACGCTTCCTTCTTCTTCATTAGTATTTCATGATTTTCAATAATCTAAAAGAATACAGAACCTAGTATTTCTCTACTTCAAATACTGATTGTCTTATCGATTATTATTAACTCCAACAACCTTCTCCATAGTTCAATATTATGAACTTTATTTTCTTTCAAACTGATTTCTCGTGAGTTATTCTTGTCTTTTGAAGTCAACCCAATAATTTTCTTCTTTAATATTTTAAAGAGGCTGAAATGTGTAACTTCATAAAATTTCAAGAAACCCAATTTCGGCAGCTGTTGCCATTCAGTTTTTCTTCATCTGCATATTGAAAAGTGACACAAAGCGGTAACCAGTGTTAATTATTATTGAATTTGATTAATATTTTCAGGAAACTACGCGCTTTAAGGTTACTAATTGAATTGTAAAACTCTTACAAAACCATTTTATTCAACTTTACTTGTGCACACAACATACTATCTAATGAAAATAAGTTATGAAATACAGAAATAAAACTGATTGTGGCCGTGATATCATTGAATTGATGTCGATTTTAATTAAAAATCTCATATTTCAATGCATTTGTGCATCTTTCATATCATTTGTTAAATTTTTCAGTGACAAGTTCAACAGCAAACTTTTGCCGAACGGATCGTTGCTAGCAGACGTGACCGGGTCTCCATTTGCTGTTCGCCAATTCTGTGTGGATTACGGCAAGGACATCAGTAAGGAAGGTTACTTCGCCTACGTATGTGCGAAGGTGAGAGTTCCGAAGAGTCCACTAACGAATCTTATTCATCATTTCAGTCTATAACACGCCATTGTTCTATTTTTTCAATTAATAGGCTTCATTACACTGCTAAGTAAGATACGTACAACGTTTTTGCAATCTCGATATATGGCATTGCATTTCCATTTTTATGATTATGCAACGATTTCTAGGAAGATTTAGTCCGTTTTCAATTCCATTCACATATGAACATATATTATTTAGTAGCTATTGAATATACTTTCTTGATATAATCACTACCACAATCTAATTATCTTTATTATTACATAGAACAGTAATTTATGATACAGGGCTGAATGATCGAATATGAACTGGCCACTCATCGATATAATGATAATGAAGCATTAGCCAAGGCAGCATTAGCAAGGGCAATGCCATTGAAAACACTAACTTATTGATGAAATTGATAAATAATAAATAAAGAAATATATTACTTATTTAACGTGATCAATAGAATAATGAGAGAATAACACGAGACTAAAAACTACAGGGGACCAGAGGTTAAGTGTTTCAGAAGTGGGAAGTGTAAAGATTCAAAATGAAGCTATTTTGATCAGTTTGCTCATAGAGGCGAGTTATACAATCATCTTTCAACTTTTTTGTTTCTAAATTTCTATATTTATTTTATTATTATAAATTTTTATTATAAATATTATTATAATTATTATTATAAATATTTAATTTAATGCATCCTTTTGTAAATGTGAAATTTTTAAATATATGTTACGATCAAAAAAGGTAATTGGATTAGATGTGAGGCAAAGGTTAGTTGTCTTGATTTAATTTCATGTTCTTACGTGTTCATTAATTCTATGGATGAAATTTATCCCAGTCTGGCGCACAAAATATGTATGTCAAATTGTGTTTCATATTTACCTCAATAATGAATAAAAATAAATATATTGTGACTGTGATTACAGAGAACTGCAATCAAATAGCTGTTTCATAATGTTATCTGAATCTTACGTGTTTGGGTGCGCCGAATTCGAAAATGACAACTGTTTCTTCTGGGACGTCCAGTTTACTCGCAATCAAAATGTAACTTGGCAAAACAGGTAGTTGGAAATCGCTAAATTTCAAATTCATCACACTTGGCAAAAATACTGAACATGGAGAAACAATTTTATGTTCACTGCCAGAGCTCTGATAAATATGAAAATTCACATTTGTATTGACCCTGATGGGGACCATTGCATTGTTTAGTGCTTTCTAGAGCCTACCCGCACATGTTCATGCATGCATTAACTTATTCTCTGATTCTTCCACAATATTTTATTGCATTTCAGTCTTCATTCAGTTATTTTATGTGTGGTTCAAAATTAATCAATACCTCTGTGGACATGTATAAATTCGTCTAACGGTTTCTTTTTCTTATGAGGAGAATTCATGATGAAAAAACAGCAATAGAATATATAACGAATTTTGTTAAAAAAATTAATTCAATTTGTTTTAAATTAGAAGTTTATGACAAAGATAAAGTTTGGGCTCCTCAAAATATTTAAGCGTTGCAAAAAAAAACCTTGTTTTGAATGCTTATGGGACAATGGAGGCCGACAAAATTACCGAAAGTACAAAAGTGGGTAACACGGATTTTAGGTGAAAATAATACCCTGAGGGAAACATTGGTACCCTTTGAGAAGGGTTTATGACCTCCTCTTCATATAAAATTACAAATAATGAAGAAATTTTAAGGCACTTCTCAACGATAGAAAGTATATTACGTACTTGGAATCTAAATTTCTACGATTTCGGAAAACAGAGAGGGAGATTTTGTTGAGATATTAGAAAACTAATATAGACTTCAACAGTTAAATGACTTCAGCTCAAAACTAAGAGTGAGTTGCTTTTCCTGAGGTCAGAAAAAACGTTTTGGGAAACAAAACGATCTTAATGACAACAGTGGAAATATTGTTGAAAGCATTCCGAAAGGTCGGTTGCTTCGTGAACTCAAAAGTCCATTTTCCCAATTCACACTTTGACAATTGTCCTGAAAATTTGAAGCAGTAGCTGAAGAGCAAGGGGAATAACGTTTCTATTATAGAGATATAAGAGAAATGGAAAGAAGCATTACGGTTTAACGAGTGTGACAATGATCACTGACTACGGCTGAATGTTAGACATGGATCTTCCGGAAACCACCTAGAAAATAAAAAGATCAAAAAGAAGTTTGTAGTTTGAAGAAAGAAGATTTCACAAGCAATCCGATTGATTGTGGTGTTGATTTTGTCGAAATAACGCATTAATTAATGCTTATGTAAATTAAATATTTGCGTGGAGAGATTTTTTAAAGGATAATTCGTTGGCTAAAAACATGGTGTCCCAGGACAAAACTGTTGTAATTCTTGCATTCAGAACATTATAAAACTTAAAAATCAGCTAACTAAAACGAAACAGCTTTACAAATGTTTTTTTTATACTTGTATTATCTCAACCAGTCAATCCTTAATATAAATCACTACAAGATCTTAGCTGAAACTATTGAGTTATTTACAATTCAGTATTACTAAGTACTTCTGACGACGAAGCATCGCAGTATATTGTTAAATATTTCCTGATATCTACCCCATATTGCATGGTGACAAACTTTTCACAAACGTTCACTAATTTTTATTTTATTTATTTAATAGGTAATTATCACAGACAAATTGGCTTACTTGATCCTATGTGGCTAGGCCGAAGGCCTTTAAGCCATTACAATACCTACATCCTTTCGCGTTCACTAATTTCACTAATTTTACTATTATATGATACTTGGTGAGTTTCTATTCTTGGTCAAATAGGCAACGTTTGGTCCATATCACAGGGATTAAGTTACTTTTTTCGAGTGCGGTACGGTTTCCTATTTTCTTAGCTTTCCTCATAATAATTCCATTCTTAAAATATGTCACAAAATAACCTAAACGGAAGGATTAGATATGGGACTGAGCGGCAGAGCAAATTACGAATATGTACAAGATAGCCCACTAACATTTGAATATGATAATAGTGGTGCTACAGAATGGCCCAGACTTTCCCGTATTAGTTTTCTATTTCCATTGATCTCGGTTACCTATTCGGGCTTGCCATATATTCTTGCCAGCTGCCATTTATCTCCACCCAAAGCAAATGTTTTTTGACATTTTCTTAATTTTTCGGGTTCCTAATAGTAGAATGGAAATATTATTTGAAGAATATTAAATGTAAATTCAAAATTTGAAGCTCTTTTTCACGAACAATTTTTGAATTTTCGAAAAACTTTATTTGAAGTCATTTTAAGTACTTTAACCCACAAATACAATAGTGTTGTGTATTCAGAAACACGTAAAGGAAAGACAACAGTTCGTATAAACTATGTTAGTTTATTACCCAGAATCAAAAAATAACCAAAGTACAAAACCAGTTTACGTTCTTCCAGGAGATGTCCCTTAACACAGCACTAGTTCAACAAAAACACCAGGAGAAATCAACGCTACAACCACAGCACTTTGTACAATACTTCGGGCCACTGCGTCACACTGCTAGTTCTCACTCGCTACAAACGCAGACTCTGACTGTGCTCCGGCCCCGAGGGCCGGCCGCTTTATAGTGCCAGATATAGTGCAATTTGTTGCCGTTTTTGAAAAAAAATTGAAAGTGTCCGGATGACTTCATGACAAGTACCCCAATTTTTTTTAAATAATCTCAAATATTTGACTCGAGCCAGATCGACACGGGTTTCTTCAATTTGGAAAAAATCGTACGTATGGTTTAGGCGCTAGCCAAGTTCACAGACGGGTAGATGTACAAATAGACAGACAGACAGACGTTTTGAAAAAACTAGTTTTTCGGATTATTTTTTTAAAAATTAATAACAAGTCTCAATTTGTAGACTTGTGTAAGTTACTTTTATGACAGAAAACAACCTTATCGTATGTTTATTTTATGACATTTTCTGTCAAACTAGCATTTTTCATTTCATGTACCTACTGTCTTTCTACATTAGGGAATATAATTAGCCATAATTAGCGCATGAGAGAACACAACTGATTTGAGAACACGTTAAATTAATAATTTCTTTTTGTCGATTAACTTCATTAACGGGTTTTCTGTAGAATGAATTCAATTCAATAAAACTGTTTTTATTTTGAAAATTAATTTTTAATAATAGTCATTTATAAGTTTTAATGAAATATTGCAATACCAGAATCGGGACCCGAAACCTATGACATGGAAGAACTACCTGTACCTGGTGCTGTAACCTGGTCGGGACTGGCGTCGCTGCTAGCTACTCTGGCGGTGTACGCGCTGCTGCCAGAGCTCCGCGGCCCAGTGTACGCCAAGGCGCTCATGTGCCACGTGCTGCCCTAGCGGCGGGCGTACTCACCCTGGCGGTGAGCGAGTGCGTCTCCGTCGACACCTACGCCAAGTGCGCGTTCTTAGGTGAGACACTACCGCAAGCTTACTGTGGCAATTGCCAGAAATGCTGTGTACTTAGAGTTTGAGATGATTAAAAAAACTGAGGGCGGAAGGCTTGATGAAGCTTTATCTACATCTTCCCAGACGATTCAAGTATTATGAAAGATTGACAGCAAAATCTGATTCATGTAAAGGTGATTGACAGGAGTATGAGGGTCGGCGTTAGTTTCCGAGACCACTTCATCTGCTTGGAAAATTAGGAAGGTTTTGCACGGCATAGCGGGCAGCGATAGACTGTAACACTGATCTTCTACGCATGCGTAGATGCACAAAAGTGATGCGAAACTGAATCCGCATGCGCAGAATATTGATATGCGGTTGGTAGCTGTAACGCTTCGCCGGGTAAAGTGTCCCTTTTAAAGTAATAGCGTGGAGGGTATAAAGTGGTAGCATGATGGTTTCACCATGGGTAATAGTACATCACAACTGTTTCTGTTATAACTAGGTAATATCATTTAATGAATTCTCCATGTTTGTGGCACTTCTTACTTTCTGTTGTATGAAATATAGAGAAAGTTATGTAATGCTACCAAAATAGTTGACAAAGTTTTAACGGAAATGCACTTTCTGATATCAAAATCAATTACTTTCATTTTACAAACGCCCGTCATTCATTTTATATTTTCAAATCGTTCTATAAAATCTGTGCCATGATGTAGCAACGATATAGTGCGTCCGAGGTTAAGAATGAAATACGGGACCTTACGGACGTTTCAGGCAAAGAAGCATACCCTCCGTTTCAAGATAGCAAAACTATTTAAAGACTTATTAACAATTTTTTCATAGCAACAATTAAATGAGTAAAATTATACCTTGAATATTTATATATTTATAATCAACTTGGTGAATCTTTAGAACTTATAAAATTTTGTAGGAAAGGATACGTTCGTCTGGTGGATCTGTCACAGCCACGGTGCTACGTGCTTCGGTTGCCGTATCATACTGAACTCTGAAAGGATGCGTTCCGCATGTTTTCCTATGTTTGTTCGACTGTTTTGTTATTGTGATAGTTTTTGAGATTTATGGTTTTAGATATAATATTTTTACTTTTTATTGCCTTGATGTTAGGTTGTAGGGAATTTCTTTATTACTTTCTTTACTTACTCAGTTTTTTGTTTAACAAAAACAATACAAAGATTATTTGCAAGAATACGAGATCCTGTGTGCGAACCTGAAATATGTTGAATACTCGAACCTTAAAATATCCTGTGTGCAACACTGAAATATTTTTTTTAATTTAGAACTTTTTTAATTAAAATGTTTCACAATTAATTTAAAATGTGTGATTTATCGACTATAAAGCACAAGAGTGCTCCATAGAGGGAACAAACAAATGATTATTAATAGAGTCCGAAAGTTCAGGGATGTATTTTACCTAAAATAGGCAGGCAAAAAGTCATTTAATATTAGTAAAATAAGCCCTGAAAAAGGCACTTCTTCTAGCCAAAGAAAGCAACTATGCGCAAAAAGGCACGAAATCAATAAAAAATCACGTTTAAAAGTAATGATAGTAAAAAATAATAATTCAAATGAATCACATTTTTATTCTAACTGAAATTTATATCACCACTTAACGTAAAAGGAAACTATATTTTCTTTGTAATCTTCATTCGGTATGTACGTACGTATTTGTTTTATTCGCGACGCTGAATCTTTGAAATTAAATTAAGACTCCCTTTTGAATCTTTAAATGGAATAAGTGAAAACGAATTATTATTTTTCGTTCTTGGTAATCATATGCAGAGAGTTGTCCTCAAAAAGGATTGGAGGCTATACTTGGAAAAGGAATGAGACTCCTCTTGAGAGAACAAAAACTGTCAGCATTAATGAAAAAAAATGAATGGTATCATCCTCCTATTTCTTTCAGTTTTTTAAAAACGCTGCTTCCACAGTTAGACAAAACTCGTTATCCAGGCTTGCAGGTAGTATATACCCAACTTTATTGAATTGAATTGAATTTGCCTTATTTTACGTGGCGAGACTCAGGCCATCAGGCCCGCTCTTCCGTCTGACCACGCAAATTTCGCTACGCTCCTTTCATCAAGTAGCAGAGAAAGGAGGTATTTCTTGGGCGAGAAACAGGAAACTTTATTCAGATCGATGGGAGTAGAAAAAAAGCAAAATAATTATGTTAATAGTAGAATATGGCAAAAAGCACACAAAATGACAAAAAGAGGCATCAGAAGCTAAAATATACAACAGAAGCAAAATGAAATTCTGTACTCCAGATGTACAAAAAGTGATTCTGATTGTTAAAAGTCTTAAAGTAGTAAAAATGTCAAAAAGGCATTTTGCCAAACTTCCGGTCTCTAGTTTTTAACGTTTATAACTAATGTTATAAAGTGAATATTTTTGAACAGGATTTCTCAAAGCCTACCAAAATCCGTTCTGTCGGAGCGAGGCAACTTGGTTTCCTTTGTATCAGATCACTTTGCTCTCGGAGGACTGTCTTATTTTATCCTCAAAGGAGTTTTAAATATTTCGGACAGATGATTTGAAACCTTTTAAACAGAACTTTATGCGTATTGCTAAAAATATATATTTACTCACAAACTTTTTTTTATCATATACTAGTAGGTTCTTATGTTTGTTCGAAGACGTCGTACCTTTATTATGGACATGGGAGTATCATTGCTAATTGAGGGAATTTTGGACAAATTTGAAAGTTGACACTTTCCATGGTTATTTCAAACAAAATGGGTTGTTCACTATAGGGATCATTTCTCAGCATGACATTGCTAGACCACATACCCTGCATAATAGCCAAGTTTGTGTTTTGAGCGATTGCCACATCCGCCTTTGTATCCGGATCCCGCCTCTAGTGATTAACACATATGAATGGATGAAAAGCAGAACGGTATAAGTGTCATTTTATAAATTCTGACAAATCTGTGTATTTAAGTCAATATCACGGTAAAGTCGTGGTGCTTTGTTGCATCATTGAAACCAAACCATTGTTCATTTAAACCCGAAAATATATTTCCACTGAAATATAGCCTAAAATAAACACGTTTTTCTCGTAATTTATAAAATTTCACTTATTCCAGTTTGATTTTCACCCATTCATATATAGCTATTGAAATGCAAATATGCAATGTGGGCGAAATACATTCCTTTGAATGAAGTGAATGCAGTATATGAATAATTGTGGTTCAAAAAGCTAACTTATTTCTCCCTTAGAAATTCAAGCTTGGTCATTATTGAAAGCAAGGGAGGATTTATGTCTAGGAGACCCACACACTAAAAAGTGTAAAGGTCCTTTTACATGGTACTGTTTTCGTGCATGTTATCACTCAGAAACTTCTGAATCCCAAACAACAAGTAGAAAAGGCAAACGGTCTACACGTTTTCTGCACTTTCCTGCTCTAGTTGCCAGGGGTCGCCGAATTGAGTCGTGCGAGTACATCGATTCGCAACGTATGTACATGCACTCTGACATACTTTAGTAATACTTTTTTAAGTATTAATGAAACATGAGCAGAAAAAAACAACCCTTTATCGTTGCCGATACACATGTTGTGACTAGAAAGGCTTTAGTAGGCGCGCAGAAAAAACATTTCGCGTGGAGGAAATATTGGCTGCAGAAGTGAGTTTCAATAACTTCACATTTGCAAGAGGCAGTAAAATATACCCACCAGATAATCCAAGAACGCAAATTCAGGACGGCAATAAATAAATTGTCATTAATCGCACCTAACTATTATATAAGTAGGTTAGTTGTTTATTCTTGACATTCAATGCAACAGTCCGGAGAGTCATAGGTTGCCGTCAATAGTGCGGTGCCTGAGAAAAGTATCTATACTGAGGAGCAATTTTACATTAGACCAAAATCAGCACGAAATGTGAAATCAAATGCGATTGAAAGGATTACAGTTTCAGCACTTTTGGACCCTGCATCACATTAATCAATTCTGTTCATAACTAATAGAATTATAAATGAAACTGATAAGAACATGGGCTACAAAAAGAAGTGGTAGTGCCTTTTATACTATCATGCTATATTTCTGTTAGAAGTTCTAAACATTGCTATCTTCTGTTTAATTCAAGCATTGACATGGTCTTTATGTTGCAGCGTTCTTTGGCCAGTTCTTCCTTCTTGCCGCCTTTTTTTGGCTCACAGTCTTGTGCTTCGACTTCACTCGCGGCTTCATGTAAGTCAAAGTTTTTACTACCTCATTAATATTTATGCATCGAATTCAGCGACAACATTTAGTGGCGAAGAGTGGAATTTTTGAGAAGTATTTGTAAGACGCGACCGAATGTCGAGGCTTATATTCCTGAAGGTACTGGGAGATGAGGATATCGAAATGTGTTTCACACGAAATGTGTTTCACACGTCTGTATAACATTCAAACGAGGCTCATTTTTTCGGTATTATTTCTCCACGTTTGTGTCATGGACGCTCTCGACCGTTTTAAAGACTCGCTGCGGGAGTGCTACAGCGAAGTCAGGGGAGGCTTCGGCAGCCGCCCGGGAGATAACGCCAGAGGCAGTCCTCATGTGCTCGTCACGCCGCAGCACGCAGCAAACGCAACTGACTGATCCCTCTGCCCACCGAGAGTATAAAATGGCCTCGCGGACGGGAGACGGCATTTTTCAAATCTTCAGCGCTGCCTTCCACAAGACGTATCTGAAATGGTTAAGTCTTTCCTCACAAACCGCACATTCGTGGTAAATGTTGGTAAAGCGATATCCGCAAAGCGGAGGATTCCGGCTGAGGTCAAACGGGAGCTCCATCCTCTTCTCTCTACTGTTGTACGTCAGTGATATACCACATATACCGCGAATATGGCTTTTCCTCTATGGTGACGACATAGCCGTCTTAGCAAGAGGAATAAACCTAGACCAGAAACTCAAAATACTGCAAAAACAGATTAATCTGACGCAGAAGTGGAAGGTACAAAACTAGACTTTCTCAGCGAAAAAATCTCAGACAATCTGTTATATTCGCCACAAACACAAATTCACAAAGTAATTTACTCTACCAAAACAAAAAAAAAACATTTAGAACACAAAAACTGAAGTGGGAGCCTAAGGCAACTTACCTGGGCGTACTTTCTATCGAAGGACGCTCTGTGACTTACATGTCGGCGAATTCGATCGAAACAACAGAGTCGATCAGCAAAGGGTTTGTCTTTTACAACCTCTTCTGAAGGAACCATCACTCCACTTGGACCTTCTGCTGGTACTTTATAAAGCGTGCTGACGTGTTGTCGGTGGATTCCAGAAAAGAAATACATCTGATCTTGTTCAGAATAAAGATCTTTGGCTTATAGCGCGCCATCCGTTTTGGAAACGAATGAAAGAAGGACCTCGTGAACGACACCTTTACCCAAAGCTTAAGACAGCTATGATTCAATAAAGCCTACCAAGCCTTTCAAACCGACGAAGTTCCGGCGACGCTCAAACAATTTGCACGTGTCCTTACTAAACTAACAATCTTCCATCTTATATATTGAGGCCGTATAAACACTAACAAACATTAAAACTACAAAGTCAAAACAAAACTACAATTCAAACAACCCATCAAATTGGCAAACGACTAAGATCTCTCGCGAACATACACAACCAACCCACATAAAGCTGTAAAATGCAAAATCGTGCGCACTGCAGTAACACAAGCACGCTGCAATTGGCTTCGCCGAAAAAAACTAGTGGCGCTAAAACAGCACGTACTTTCTCGTCAGTATTTTCACGCATAGCTACGCGAAAAGCACTCAAATTTTTCAAAATTTTACATGTTCTTATTTCAAAATCTATCTTTAAGAAACAGATTTCATAACGGGAAGAAATCTCTATGTTTAATATTTTAGTTGTAGATAGACTCTGAAAAAATTTTGAATGCTCATATTTTTTGTAAAATCTGGGTTTAAACGAACATGAGATCTGCAGCATTCTCTCAAAACGTCCTTAATACTATGCAACAAAACAATTTAATCAAAAACGATGAAGGTATTTTTTCGAAAATTTGGAATGTACAGAAGCTTCATATAGAGTATGCAATTAAAGTTTAAAATTCAAGCGGTCACGACATCTGCCAGATCAATTGGGGAATAACAATTTTGTAGAAAATCAGCAGAACTGTGTAGACGATAGCGTTGTTCCCAGACGGCCGAGCGGGCTCACAGACAGAAAAAACGGACAGGCCATCATTCAATTTTTCCTGTATCAAGTATCTACAAAACATGGATTCTGACTACACCACGTGTTAGAAGATCCCCCCCCCAAAAAAAAATAGCAACAGGATTCATCTAATTTTTCGTTCCCAGGGCTCTGGAATAAGAGATTTTCTGCCGAAAATTCGCCGTTTTTCGCGCAGCATTTCACAAATTTCACACAGTGAGATATTTAGAATTAATTGAAGCTATTTCTATTTTGTATGTTTCGGCATATCTCACTATAAATAAATATATTTGCATATTTGGACATTATAAACATATTTTTTTTAATATTCGCACTTCCTCCGCAAGAAATTCTCTAACTGCTACAATAATTTTGTTATCAGTCACCGACATTTCAGTCGCTCTCACATTCAAAGGAAATCATGTCCCCGGACGTGACGCACGCCGCATCCCATCACGTCATGTAATCGATAAAATTGTCGCCGCTCACGTATAGAGACGCTAACTCAAGAAACTGCCGCAAAAGAGAGAGGTGGTTCGGGGCATCATCTAATGTCACTGCAGTGCCTCTGAGCAGGTGGTCCTGGGGTTCAAGCCCCGGCGGTGTGCAGGATTTTCGACACTAGCCAGTTAGCTAGGTCGCGTTTTGTCGCTATCTGGAGGAGAATTATAGCGGCCAGCTGATCTAATCGGTAGTTTTTCGTGGTTTCTCCGATCAATACTAGCGAATTCTGGAGCAGTTCCCTACTAAACGAGTCATGGGCCACGCGCGATGTTTCCTTCCCATTCCTTATCCTACCCTCACTTGTCTATCAGAATTGCATGCACTAAACCGACTGACCGGTGACCGCCAAGCCGGGTGACCGGTCGAGAGCTTAGAGTTGGTCCCGGCTGAGGGATGCCACCGGTTGGAGATACCTGGTTGGGGAGAACCCCGCTTGCCGACGGTAGCTCGGCGCTGGATCTCGCCATTCGGCGGGGTAAGATCATCGCCACCTCCCGAGGAAAAAACATGCACTCACGAGATCTGAACAATTGACGCGCTCGGAATAACGAGTAATCATCAGGAAGCTGCGATCCCAGCGGCCCTTCTATCGCTTCCTCGGTGGGGCGCAGACGAACGTTCATGTTGCGTGCTTTTGGCGAACTAGGAGGTCTGGCCGGAATGGACGCAAGCCGATGCGACCGATCGAGTCGCCGAGACGGTCACCGAGACGAGCACGAGGGGACGATGGCAGAGCTCGAAGCAGAACAAAAGGCTGGAATTCTGATGCTCTTAAATTCTGAAACAGAGGCGATAGTTTGGCTTTAATGCTACAACAAATTTTTGAGGAAGAAGAAGCAAGGGTGATAAGTGTTTTATATAAGGTGATTTTGTATCTTGAGACAACTAAATATCCTGAAAACTAAGAATCGTATCAAGAAATGTTTCGAATAAAATTTGTTTGTCTCAGAGAGGCCTATTGGATGATACCAATCTCGACCTGACACCTTCACCCCCTGGGAGTGGGGATAGGGCAACTTGTGAATTTTAAATGGTAACCTCTATTTTTATAGCGGATTCAGATTCTCGGCAAAAAATACATAGATTTTGTTTGAAACACTTTTTCCAGTAGATGGCGCTGTAATCGTATAAAACACATTGTTCGCAATTCTGGTGAAATAACACCAAAGGTGAATAAATATGATTGTGTTTTTAAGAATCTTATTTATTGATAAGAGTGAGCAAGCCTCGAACCTTTGATAGAGAGCGTGGGGGTAACTTTTAAATTTCAAATCGAACAAATTTCAAAATGGCTATAAAGTCGTTAATAACATCAAAAGTAAATGAAATAGGGCTAAAAAGGATAATCTCTTCCAAGATCTTCTTGCTAAAACGTTCCAAAATAAAGAAACGTAATAAGTTTTTAAATGGTAAATTTTTAAACATAAAAAATTGAACAACATTGCGAAATGACTGTAGCGGAAATCGAATTGTGTTCTTGTGTACGCCGAAAAAAGAATTTTTTGAAATTGCGTATCTCCTTGGCCTCCTAATCTCCTTCATTGCCATGCACTTCGGCTCTCAGTTTATGCGTTCGGCAACGATTGGGAGCACGTTTTTTTTTTAGTTTTTGGTCCGCTTTCCATTCGGTACGCACCGTCCATTGACATCTTGATTAAGGGTTACTTAACTTTATGATTTTACTTTAAGATACGTGCGGCATCGTCCCCTTTTAGTCAGTTTCTTCATTTCTTAGTAATTTTTGTTTAATGCTGTACTGGGTTACGATGGCGTTATTATGTTGAAAAGTAGAAATTGAAATTGGTGTTTAATTTATGGAGAAAACGGTAGAAATCTTGATGATGCAGTTACCTCTTTCTGCTCAACGTTTTTCCCAGATCCGGGTACGATCACAGCGCTTCATTTCACCGGGTCGTTCAATACGTTCTCTCGAGGGATGATCAGCCAAAAAGAAAATTTCCGAGAAACAGTTGCTGCGGGAACAGAATGAAAATTGCGGTACTAGCAGCAGTTGCCATAATCCCCTCATCAGTACTGTGACAATAACTCATGTGCGGGAAATTAGTCACTACTGTTTGGAAAATATTGAATACCAATAAATTTCATCCGTTTCATGTGCCCTTGCATCAAGAACTTCATGGCGATGATTTTAAGAATCGAATAACGTTCTGTCAATGGGCGCTTCTGCAAATACAAAGGGATGCTCAATTCTTCGCGAGAGTATTGTTCTCTTAATGAGTCAACTTTCACGAATCACGGTGCAATCAATTGACACATCATGCATTGTTGGAGTACCGAAAACCCACATTGGCTACGTCAAGTTGAACATCAGCGCCCTTGGAACGTGAATGTTTGGTGTGGTATAATTGGTGACGTTGGCCCGTGTTTCATCGACGGCATTTTGAAAGAAGAAAAATATCGAAACTTCTTGGAGAACGAACTTCCTTTATTGCTTGCAGACCTTCCCCTTAACGTGCGACAAACAATGTGGTTTCAACATGAGTTGTCCAGCTCATTATTATCGAGAAGCACGAGAAGTATTAGATCGTGTGTACCCTCGCCGGTGGATCGAAAGAGGTGGTATAGTAGCTTGGCCTGCCAGATCACCAGATCTTACGACCCCTGATTTTTATTTGTGGGGTCACTTGAAGGATGATCAGCTGCCGACAATACCCGAGAACATAATTGAGCGAATCTCCACTGCATGTCGTAAGATACCTCCCCGAAAACCTCTTAGTTGTGTTCAATCTTTCCAAGTGCGGATAAATAAATGCATCGAAGTGGGTGGCCAAATTTTTGAGCACTTGTTGACATGATTATTTAAATGAAGGACCCCGATGGTGAGAGGCAAGGGGACTCACATAAAACAAGCACCCCGCTGTTGATTACAAGCACCCCCGATGTTATAGCAATTTGAACTTTGTTCCATTTGAAATTTAAAAGTTACCTCCCCCCGCTCTCTGTCAGAGGTTGAGGGTGCTCACTCTTATCAATACTAGATAAGATTCCTAAAAACACCATCATGTTTTTTCACCCCCTGGTGCAATTTCACCAGAATGGCGAAAAAATGTGTTTTCTACGATTACAGCGCCATTTACTGGAAAACAAAAAAAATCAAACAAAATTTACGTATTTTTTGCGGAGAATCCGAATCTGCTAAACAAATAGGGGTTCCCGTTTACAATTCGCACGTTTCCCCAGCGCCACCCCCAGGGGGTGAAGGTGTCAGGTCGAGGTAGGTATCATCCAAGAGGCCTCTCTGAGACAAGCAAATTTTATTCGAAACATTTCTTGATACCATTCTTAGTTTTAAAGATATTTAGTTGTCTCAAGATATAAAATAACAGTTTAGAACATAAACATGTTTAAAATATATATGTTAACAAGATTGCGATGTGTTTATCATTAAAAACTTAATTAAAAGATTGTACATAACAATTTACAGATATTTTAACAATTAACAGATATTTTTGTGACGAATAAGACAGGATCATTGTAAATAACATTGTGTGTTTACAAAATTGAGTTACGAAATTTATAGGATTACATGTATTATTCTTAATCTAAAGTGATACTATTTACCATTTATTGAGCCTGGTTTATTCATACTAAAATTATTAAAAACTAAAGGAAGGCTTCTATTATAACATTTTTAAATTGGTAACTTTACGTTTCGTCACTGTTTAATCATCAGAGTGAAAATCAGTTGCTTCTTCAACACTTGGCTAACAACTCGCGGAAAAAATATGATTCGCATCTCAATTCAAATTTGATTTTCAGGTCAAACTGAATTTCTGTCGAAAATTTGATTCAAAAAGAGCAATAGTTTGTTCTGAAGAAGCTTATAACATTAACACGAAGAAACAACACGAAAAAAGGAACACGTTAACAGACTGGCGGGAAGTGATTGCACCCTTTCTTATCACTCTGACTGAAAAAGCATTTTTGAAAACAGTGGTAACGTTCGTGTCGAGAACTACTTAATACAGTTCGAGCATGAGAGCAAAGCTAAAGTTCAAGCACATTACACCAGACGCACTTAGAGATCCACAATCACAACTAAAAGAAGATATTGCGCTAAAATAATAATTTTTATGCATTAATGTTAATTGTTAAATATTGGCATTGCTCATCTCATTGACTATTTTGGTGTAATTCAAAGGGCAAATATTTCGATTTAATATTTTATTGTTTTATTATAGCGTGTGAATACTTGCGTGAATAATCATTTACATACATTAATAAAACAGTTTATTACAAACAACAGTCGATGTTTGATATTTGAAGGTGATAATAGGCAAGAAATCAGTCAATATATGAGCCATGAATCCAGAGAAACTTAATGAAAACTGGACTAAAATGGTGGCCATTGACTCATAACATGTTTGTAGTACCAATTTGTTACAGACAAAAGCGGAATAAATGATTATTTTTAACTAGCATAGCATTTTTTAAAAAAGGTTATTTTTCCATGTGTGTTGTCGCACCTAATAAAGTCAAACATTAGGGTTATGGCGAAAATTCATTTTTCCCTTAGTTTACTCGAATTATTAAAACCAATTTAGGATTATAGGTAGCTACACATTTCAAAGGAGAGTGCTCAATAACGCATAACCCTACGATCAAACCGTTTATAAAATCCTTAGAATTCAAAAGTATTTATAAGGAGGTTCCGAAGAAACGTGTATCCCATTAAGTACTTCGAAATTTCCATCATGCCTACAGCACTTTCTTTTCCTTTGTGACCGAGTGGGGTGTTGTGTGTCAGGGACCTTCTGCCGATTAACGACGCGAGATCCGCCGGCCGCCGCCTGCTGTACTACTCGCTGTTCGCGTGGAGCGGCCCCACCATCATCGTGACCATCACCGTCGCCCTCAACTACTCGCCGGGCCTTCCTGATTGGCTGCAGAAGCCTGAGATTGGATTGTATAGCTGCTGGTTTAGCCGTAAGTGTTGCAATGAAGATGGAATCTACACAAATTGCACTCTTTTAAATTAGAGGAAGAGTAAAATTGCATAAACTTTCTGAAATAACATCTATATCTTTGATTTTTGTCATTCGTTTCTTAATGTAGAAATTTTCAAAGAACAGAAATAGTTTCCAATGTACTGGAATTTGAAACATACCAGAAAGAAGGTATTTAACGAAGATGTCTTGCTATCTCAAGACATTTGGAACGTACACACATTTGGGAGATAAAAAAGGTATATTTTATTCTGGTAAAAATGTAACAATTTTATACAATAGAACTTGAATTATTAACGTTTACTCAAAAGTACATGAATAAGTACATACATTCATGCGGAATTCATGTTCCAAATGCAAATTCCGCTCAATAAGTGTTTATATTAATCAAAATTAACCCTTCTGAGACATAAAGGATAAATATGAATCTGTCCGTCGTAAAAATATATAGAATATGTATATGTATAATAATTATCTATTGTCATGAAAACAAATAATCGTCCTAAAACATGAGTTCGCACAAACCCCAGGGCACATACCGCCTAATCACAATGAGTCTTCGAAACACCAGAAACTAATCTGCACTATCCAATCAGAGAATCAATTGGTATACTGTTACAGATGAATTCAATATAAGTAATATAAATGCCCTTACTCTTTAAAATAATCCTAAAAACCTGCTCACTATATTACGTGCTGTGAAGAGAGCCATTTCTTTAAAGCTATTTGCCCAATTCTCCAACAATAAACTTCTCCCCGTTACAATCCTTCAAGAAACCTGCATCTGTATGTCCGTTCGTCCTTCTATATGTCCATCCATTACCCGCTTCCGATCCAACAATCGAGACGAGATCATTCGACGCTAGTGTGTCTCTTGTCTGGGAATTGGTCAATTTTTCTGGATACCGTTTTCGGTGATTTAAGACCCAAGTCTTCATTGTTCAATCGGTTCTTCTAGATAAGATAAATGGATTGGTACAATTATTAGCCAGTTTCATCTAAGATATTCTGGAATAATGGTAGAAAACACGTTTTTGACAGTTTCAATGCACTTTCGTGTGCATTTGTGACATGCTGTGATTTACTTTACTCTTCTTCCGACATTTATATGACATTTACAGTGTTACTGCTTGATTCATCATATCGGCGCTAATTATAACTAACTTTGTACGAAAAATAAACCTGAACACGTATTTTAATTTGTACTTTTTTGTATAACTTTCTTTGCCAGAAAATAATTGCGCCAAGCAATTCCAACATGTTTAAAATGTATTTTTATTAGAAACTTGTAAAGCACTAATAAATTATTTTAACATGAAGATGCCAGTTGGAGGCCCAACGCGAAGCTTGTAAATAATACTCGACCATACTCGTGATATCAGAACCAGAAGCTCTTAAGTGCAAACATACCTTCAAATTCATTGAATTATTGTAATAAAAACTTGAAAGAAAATATTCGATTAAATCCTCATTTATATTAGTAAAACTAGCTAATGCTTAGCTGTTTGAAACTCAAACACCGCACCAACATACAAAGATGTTGTTTTGTTGCAGCTACGTGGGCGAAATTCTTCTACCACTATGGCCCGGTGGCGTGTCTCCTGCTGGCCAACATTTTCATGTTCTCCTACACGATGTTTCGACTACGCTCAGCTCAACGTAGTGGAAGAGGTATGCTGAAGAACGAAGATTCCTGCCTCACCGGCGGCTATTTGAGAAAACGACGAGAACGGTACATAAATTCAAGATACGTCGACAGTGTCGGAAACAAGTTTGCATTAGATGTACTCAGTGTTCATATTTTTTAAATGAATTAATTCGTTTTGTCATTATTTTGACAAGCTTCTTTTCACCTGTTTTTCTACAATGTTTCCTGAATTGAACTTTCATGAACATTAGGGTTAAACTAAATAAAACCACCCGGACCCATGCAATCTGCTCGTTGTAAACCATTATTTTCGAAGTGAAAATATATTCACAGTGAAATTCGTGTCAAACGGCCAGCCCCTGAACTGTGTTTACAGCATAATAAGGTTGAGTAACGATTCTAATGCAATATACAAGAATGCAAATATGCGTTGAGATATTATTATACAGGTAATCAAAACCTATATTTTTATTGTAAAATTGTATTTCTATCTCTTCCTTCCGTTTAATTTTACATAGATTTCGTTGTGCAGGGGCATGGCTGAAGCTTATCGGAGTGTGGATTTTAGAAATTATCAGAAATTGTCAGGGTACTCGTCATGAATCGGTGTTTGGTGGGTCACATTCTGACGCAGCCAGGAGATTTCATATATTCGCGTGTTCGTATAAGGGGCATTCCACGACAAATCAAACACTATTAAAGAAAATTTAAACTAACCATTTTTAATAGTCTTGGTGATTTTATGGTAATGAATTCTAAAAACAAAGTAATGAGAGTTTTTTAAAATAACCATCTACGTTATTGTCTCTGAAGTTTTTCGAATTTTAGAAATTTGGCGGAGAACATGCCGTTTGCAGCGCATAGTACCAGATTTGTCGAAAAGAAAGTCACTTTAACTTGGTATTAAACAACTATTTCTTTGAATAGGTATTAAATTCGGGTTTTCTTTTTTTCAAATTGCAGAAACCCCTGTCCATGTCTCTGTCAATGCACTACTAGTTTGGTCTTATTACATTCTATTCCTTAATAAAAGATCGTTGTTAACTCCTACTGAATAACTCTCCTACTGATTAAGTCTCCCTGGACCAACCGCGGGACTGTCATGTGTGGACTGAGTGACTTCCGTGAAACCGAAAATTATGCTTTTCACTTGAAAGCGTATATTGAGAAAATTGGTGTGCAAATTAATTTCATATATCATTCTCAGGCCTTTGATGTGGGAAAAATACTTCAGTGTCTTTGTACACCTTTGTATTCATAAACCATGGAAATTTGTAATGTGTTCTCCATTATTATATTAAGAGGGACTTGGCACTATAAGGTGATGTGAAACGGCTAGAGGTTTTATAGAGATGCTTTGTCCCCAGGATGCAGCAGTAAGCGAACCCGTTCGCGCTGAACTTGTCCGCTAGAGATGGTATAAGAGTCCCAGAAGGAAGCCCACAGACATTTTGTGTCCCCAGGATACTGCTGTACGCGAGTACAGGTTCGTAACAGTACGTAAGGTTCTTATAAGCATTTTCTGTTCCCAGGATGTTGCTGTACGCGAAGCTATTCGCGCTGATGGGTGTGACGTGGTTGCTGGAGGTGGTGGTGTGGGCGGCGGGTGCAGACGACATCACCATGGCTTTAGTAGATGCCGTTAACGTTCTCCGCGGCCTGGGTGTCTTCGCAGCCTGTTGCTGCAAGAGAAACGTACTTAACGCCCTCAGGGACCGCTTGTCGTGCCTGGACAAACACCATTTGGACCACTCTTCATCATCTTACACGCACAGTACTGACGTATCACTTCGCAACTCTTCCATGAGTGACGGAACACATCTTAAACGGATAGCTACCACTCACATATCTGCAACATTCGAGTAAACGTTGTCATCTCTAATCATTTGTGTAGCGTAAATGCATTTTAACATCGACATTGTGATGCCGATTACTTGTTGTCAATTAAGTTTCAAAATTGATCTTAATAATATTTTTAAAAACTATATCAGACTATTCAGATTCCATTTAATCTGTAGATTATTAATGGATCAGTGGTTACGGCATTACTATTCTGCGAATCAAAAGTAATATTTTAATTTAAAATACTCAGTATTCTGAAGTTGCCATGGATGAAAATGTCATAAGAAAGAAATGTTACTTAATGAAAATAAATTATTATTTTTCTGATCAAATTTCTACCCACGAAACCGAAAACCACTTACAAGATAGTAAGTATACTTTCTTGGGGGAGTAGTCAATCTTTTGTCATAGTATTATAACAAGGATAATTTATAAGAGAAATAAAATAAAATAATTTAATATAAACTACAATGTTAAAGATAATGTAATTCAATTTTTTGAATTCATAATGAGAAATAATAAATATTGACATAACACTCAGAAATTATTTTTTATTATAAGATGAGAAGAATGAGTAGAAATTGCGTTGACATTTCCCAAGACGGTTTATAAAGTATCTTATAATGATCGTAAATTAATTTTAATATGAATAACCCAACTTCTAGGTTTAGGGTTTTTTAAATGTATATTTGATCCCATCATAACACTGCAGTTCAAATCAGAAGCATTAGCTACATAAGTATTCAATATTATATCGTTCATGGAAATTACATGAGTGTCATTGAGATACAGTTGTTGAAGATATTATGCAATCATATCAAGTCGCCAGATATGGATATTATCATTTATTTATTTTTTTACTTTTTCCTATACGGACATATATACAGAGTAATATACATAATATATAGAAAGTTATATAATGGTACGAAAAATCGAGTTCTAAATTTCAAGGAAAATACACTTTGAGGTCCCCTGATAGCGAAAAAGTGTTGTTTTTTCAAAAAGTCCGTCTGTCTGTCTGTCCATCCGTGCGTCTGTTAACACCTCTAGCACATAAATCATACGTAAGATTTCTTTCCAAAATTGGTATTGCCCAGTCGATCTGATTCCATCGGATGAGGAGCGATTATGAGAACTTCCTTTAAAAGTTGGAAGAACTAAACATGAAGCACAGGGACATTTTCAAAATTTTCTTAAAAATGGCTCCAAAGTTTTCTTTATTTTTTCTGAAAGAATAGAGAAAAATTCACAAGATTCACAGATCCGTGTCACGTGTAAACTCTCAAATTTCGAAAATTTGGAACATTTGAGTTTTCCGGTGTCTTCCTACAACAACTAAACTTAAGATATTTCCATTCAAATATATTTTGTCTGTGTAGTTATTATTTCATTAAGGTCGTGAACATATTTTGAAAAAGTTATTAGTTTGCGAGCAACATTGTGTGCAATTTGTGCAATAATAAAAAATAACAAAAAGAAGATTTTCTCGAAAATGGCTTCATATTTTGCCTTCAAACGTTTCGAAGGATAGTGCTAAATGTACTCTATATGATGATATTAACGCCAAATTGCTTTGTTCATTTGTTTGTTTTTCAAGAATTACAAAAATGAAATTTTTTGACTTGTTTCTCACGTCGTTAATACTATTTACATTAGCGGCGATGTGTTTACATTGTTGCATCTGTGAATACATGTGCTTTAAATGTGATATCATTTGTCGAAAACTCAAGAGAACTCAAGAGTTTTCTGTTAAAAGAGATTATAATTCGTATTTTATTAAAAATTGTCCATTTTCCCTTTCACATATTTTGAACACATACTGCAAATTGCACGTTTAAGATGAAATTCAATTCATTCTACACCATTAAAACTAACATTTCCAACGATTTGTATACATTACTGCTTTTGTGAGTGGAGGTGCGTCAAATTACTTCCAATAAGGTTGTTCGAAAACACAAAAGATTTCTAAGAAAACGATCAATTTTGCATTTACATGAACGCATAAACAACATTTTCTTCCAATTTTTTCCGTATAACTCGAGGTTTTACACTTATTTAATACTCTTAAAGTAATATTAAGATTCTAGTATTAGAAAACCCAAAAAATATGATCAAAATGGTCTTTGGGTGGCGATAGATGGCAATGTTTTGTGGGAAGTCGGAAAAACTAGCCCAATACAAAGAAAATAAGGAAACTAACTAATATGGGGAAGTCTGTACCAATCTGTAGCCACTAGTTAAGTTGTAACAAATATGATAATAAAATTAATATTTAATACAATAGTTGCCTAACTTGATGGCATAGAAAGTTACATGAAAAAATATCATTAAAAATATATTTTTCTTTCTCATACACATGTTACTAGAGGGGTTAAAACTACGCAATTTCGCGCGATATTATCATTGGCTATGTTAAAATATGACAATTTATATCTTAGACTTCTACTTACACAACTATTATTTGAAAAATTCTTAAACAAACGAAGTATGAAATATATATATATATATATATATATTGTGACGTACCTGGGAAGCGGTACTCTCACGACAAAATAAATTA